GAGACAAAGATATGAAACACAAGAAGTGAATCAAAGTATTGATGATAACAGCGATGGCGTGAATGAAGACATGTTTGACAATAAATATTCATTAAATTCAATGACTGATGAAATGCAGACATTAATAAACAGCACTTCAAAGCCATCCACATCTCAATCATCACAAGAGATGACAAACAAAGACATGAATAAAAAGAGTAGTGAAGACTCGATGCAAATGCCATCAAAACAATCGATGTCTAAATTTTTGGCACAAAATAAGACTAGAAGAAGGAAATGCTTTAACAAAACCAAAAATGCATTTATTTGTCCCATAAATAAGTGCCACAAGAGTTGTGAAACTGATTTCCAATTTCGCCGTCACGTGACAGCAGTTCACGGCGAAAGACAATTCTTGTGCACTCATGAGGGCTGTGGTAAAGGCTATACTACAAGGTCTGCCTTAAGAGTACATCAATTGTTACACAAAACTGTTAAATCATTTCATTGTCCTCACAATGGCTGCGAATACGAAGCCATTGATGATTACTATTTCACTCAACATGTGAAGAGACGGCACTCAAATCAATCGGTGTCTGAAGTATTGCTACAAAATGTCACCGAAAGGAAGAAATGTTATGAGTTTGAGAAAAAGGCATTTATTTGTCCAATAAATGATTGCCATAAGAGTTACAAAACGGATGTCCAGTTTTCACACCATTTGAAGTCTGTTCACAGCGACGGACAATACGTTTGCGAATACATAGGCTGTGAGAATGTGTTGAAATCAAAAAACGGTTTTAATTTACATCTATTGGGACACAAAAAGGCGAAACCATTTCATTGTCCACACAATGGCTGTGAGTCTAAAGCCGTTAGCGATAGGTATTTGAAAGCACATCTGAAGACACACTCGACAGAATCGGTGGTCAAAGGGGCGGAACCACTGATACAATACACGAAAGCCTTTACACTAAACACATGGGAAAGAAAGCGATGCTTTGATCCGAAGACAAAGACCTGGAAGTGTCCGGGAATTGAGTGCCAGAAGGCATTGAAAACGCGTAAACTATTTAACCAACATTTATATAACATTCACAGCGAACCCCGATTTAAATGCCATTATGAAGGGTGCGATAAGATTTTCACTCATAAGGATAGACTCGACAATCATTTAGTTGTCCACAAAAATGACAAGAAATTCAAGTGTGATTACAAAGACTGCGAGTACGCGGGCCGTACGAAATGGGCCCTAAAGTCACATATGGTCTCCCATTTGACGGACAGACCGGTGATTGAATGCTCGGTCGACGGGTGCGGAAAGGCATTCAAATTGGCCAAAGATCTGGCGCAACACTCGCGCGTACATCTGAGCGACCCGACGATCCGGTGCGGCGCCGACGGGTGTAACGAAATGTTTTTCCATAGCTATGAACGCCTCAAACATCAGATCTCTGTCCACAATAGGAAACGTAAAAAATATAAACCGCAACGAAAGCAACGGTGCGATTGGCCCGGATGTGAGTATTCGGGAACTTATTTAAGTTATCATAAACTCAAGCATACGGGAGAGCGACCACATGTGTGCGTTTGGCCCGATTGTGGTAAAAGTTATGCAAATAAACTCCGATTGATGATTGGCCCGGATGTGAGTATTCGGGAACTTATTTAAGTTATCATAAACTCAAGCATACGGGAGAGCGACCACATGTGTGCGTTTGGCCCGATTGTGGTAAAAGTTATGCAAATAAACTCCGATTGAGAGATCACATGAATATCCACAACAATGTGCGCCCATTTGTGTGCCAATGGCCCGGATGTGAGTACTCGGCCACCGGTTCCTCCATTTTGTTTAATCATAAAAAGTTTGTCCACAAAATGTAATGATTATATAATTTATATTGTAATTTAAATATAAGATAATTAATTCAATAAAACAATAACTAACAATCCATTTGAAATTTATATCATTTATATTAATTTAATGTTAACACTTGATATTTGGTGTTGATATACAATAAAACAGTATAATTATATAATTATGAATAATTGTTTAATCATTTTGATTAAATTGTTTGTTAATTCCGGTAATAATTAATAAAGTATTGAATAGCTATTGAAAATGTTTACGTAATTTACAAACAATCCCTCTGAGTTACAAATGGTTTGATTTGTTTATGTTTTTGTGATTCAATTGATATTTAGTTTTGCACTGAATTTGTATTCAAATTAATTGTGAATTAGTTTTAAATGTGTTTTTGAATTGAATTATGGATTCAATTATTAATATAAACGATATTTTGGATGAATTAATGAATGAAAACAATAGACTTTTACATGAAATTCAATGTTTGAATGAAATGAAAACACATTTATTTAAAATTCACTCAAAATATAAGACAATCATTGATGGAGAAGACAATCAAGACTTTTGGCTATTGTGTCAAACATTGGATCAATTGAGTGATGAAACGTATGGATCGGTTGGACATCACATTAAGATTGAATTAGAAGACCAAATGAAGAGTCCATCAAATGACCAACAAATGAGACAAAGATATGAAACACAAGAAGTGAATCAAAATATTAATGATAACAACAATGACGTGAATGAAGACATGTTTGCCATCAATGGTCTGGAGCTGAGAACAGGTGTCAAAGTAGAAGCTGAAGATTCTATGGAACCGATTAATACACAACTCATTAATAAATCGTCAATAAGTTTATTGAATACAGAAATGCAAACACAAGTGAACAGCACTTCAAAGCCATCGACTTCTCAATCATCACAAGAGATGGTAAACATAGACTCGAATGAAGACTCGATGGAAATGACATCAAATGAATCGATGTCTCAATTCTTGCGACAAAATAAGTCCGAAAGAGAGAAATGTTTTGATTTAACTCTCAATGCATTCGTTTGTCCCATAAATAAGTGCCACAAAAGTTTCAAAAAAGACGTTAACTTTGCGATGCATTTTCGGAGAACTCATACCACTAAACAATACATGTGTACTCATGAGGGCTGTGGTCAAGCATTTAAAACACAGTACACCTTAAGGACACATCAATCGATTCACAAAAATATCAAATTATTTCATTGTCCACACAATGGCTGTCAATATAAAGGCATTAGTGATAACAATTTGAAGCTTCACTTGAGGGCACACTTTACGGATAAAGTCTTCAGATGTGATGTCAATGGATGTGATTATCAGACCTTTAAATACAAGACGTTGAAAAATCACGCGAAAAGAAAACACAAAATAATTAATGGTTTGGATTTGGGATCAGTTGTTATAAAAGAACCGGAAGATAATTGTGTGAATACAGACATGAGTTCAATGACTAATGAAATTCAAAGACAAGTGAACAGCACTTCAAAGCCATCCACATCTCAATCATCACAAGAGATGGTAAACATAGACATGAATGAAGAGAGTAATGAAGACTCGATGGAAATGACATCAAAGCAATCGATGTCTCAATTGTTGGCACAAAATAAGACCAAAAGAAGTGAATGTTTTGATCGGACTCTCAATGCATTCATTTGTCCCATAAATAAGTGCCACAAAAGTTTCCAAAAGGATATCCCATTTCAACAACATTTGCCCAGAACTCATACCCCAAGACAATACATCTGCACTCATGAGGGCTGTGGTAAAGGCTTTAAGTTAAAGGATAGTTTCTCCAGACATGTATTAACGCACGAAAGTATCAAATCTTTTCATTGTCCACAAAATGGCTGTGAATTCAAAGCCAGTATTAGTTACTATTTAACAGAACATCTGAAAAGACATTCAACGGATAAAGTCTTCAGATGTAATGTCAATGGATGTGATTATTATAACTTTAATGCCAAGAATTTGAGAGTCCATAAGAAAACACACACAAAAACGCAATCATTTCAATGCTATTATAACGGCTGTCAATACAAAGCCAGTAGTTATCACTGTTTGAAAGGACATCTGAGGACTCACTCAACAGACAAACAGTTTAGATGTGATGTCAATGGATGTGATTTTCATAGTTTTAATCGAAAGTCTTTGTCGAGACATATGGAAAATATGCACAAAAATATTCAATCATTTCAATGCCATTATAACGGCTGTCAATATAAATGCGTTAACAATAGGTTATTGACATCACATCTGAAGACACATTCAACAGACAGAACAGATGGAGTGAACTCGAAGAATGAGTTGAATGTCCACCGTTTGACACACGGATCCGAACCTACCATCACGTGTGGGGCCGACGGCTGTAATGATATGTTTTATACGTATTCCCAACGCCTGAGACATCGGGTGTCGGTTCACAACCGACGGACGAGAAGTTATCGCAGAGGAAAACAATGGTTTGAATGGACGGTAAAAACAGAGCCACAAGAAGACAGTGGAAGACAAACAATGGATGAGTAAACGAAGACAAATTGAAAGACTAGTGAAGACTCGTCTCATTTGTGATAATAGTTGCGAAACGGATACTTGTTTTTACAAAAGACAATACGTGTGCACTCGTGAGGGCTGTGGTAAAGGCTCTAAGACAAACCATAATATAAAAGCTCATCTAATTATTAATTACTAATATTTTGAACATGCACTTTCTAAACATACATTTCTATAATTTATTTATTAATTATTTATTAAAATATCAAATGAGATGTTTATATAGATTAATATATAATTATATTACTAATAATTAATATTACACTTAATTAAATGATTTTAATTCAGATAAATGTTTAACTCAATAGATTTGATGTAATTTAAAAATAATTTTGAATTTATTAAACAATAAATAATTTTTATAAAATCGCAATTCTCAATTAAAACTATTTATTTATAATTAATTTTTGTGTAAAAGTTATGTAAAACATGTTTACGTAATTCAGAGACAATCCCTTCGCTTCACATTTGAGTCAAATTGAGTTGAGTTTTGTTTACATTTTTGTGATTCAATTGTTGTTTAGTTTTGCACTTAATTTGTATTCAAATTAATTGTGAATTAGTTTTAAATGTGTTTTTGAATTGAATTATGGATTCAATTATTTATATAAACGATATTTTGGATGAATTAATGGTTGAAAACAATAGACTTTTACATGAAATTCAATGTTTGAATGAAATGAAAACACATTTATATAAAATTCAATCAAAATATGAAACACTTATCGATGGAGAAGACAATCAAGACTTTTGGTTATTGTGTCAATCATTGGATCAAATGAGTGATGAAACGTATGGATCGGTTGGACATCACATTAAGACTGAATTTGAAGACCGACTGAAGAGTCCATCAAATGATCGACAAATGAGACCAACGGATGAAACACTAGAAGTGAATCAAAATATTGATGACAACAGCGATGGCGTGAATGAAGACATGTTTGACAACTTGTATGACAGCAATGGTCTGGAGTTGGGATCAGTTATCAAAGAAGTCTCCGAAGACAGTTGTGTGGAACCAATGAATAAAAAAATTCAAACACAAATAAACGCATATTTAAAGCCATCGATACCTCAATCATCACAAGAGATGGTAAACAACGATATGATTGAAAAGAGTAGTGAAGACTCGATGGAAATGCCATCAAAACAATTGATGACTGACTTATTGATACAAAATAAGATCAAACGATTCAAATGTTTTGATTTAAGCAAAGATGCGTTCATTTGTCCAATAAATAAGTGCCACAAGAGTTGTAAAACGGATCACAACTTTGCGGTACATTTGAAAAATATTCATACCTCAAGACAATACGTGTGCACTCATGAGGGCTGTGGTAAAGGCTATAAATTGAATCGTCAACTAAAAGACCACTTATTGACACACAATACAAGTAAATCGTTTCGCTGTCCACACAATGGCTGCGAATTTAAGACCGTTTCTAATAAGCGTTTTAGAGATCACTCGAGAAAACACTCAAAGTTTTTGCCAAAGATTTTACCCAAAGTCTCGCTGAAGAGAGTGTTGTTTACCTGCGATGTCGGCGACTGTCGCCAGACATTCATATCACCCGATGGTCTCAAATCGCACACACTTTCACATCAATCTGATCCGAGCGGTGATGACGTGTCCATCGATGCGGAGATGACGTCAAATGAATTGATGGCTAAGATTTTGACACAAAATAAGTTCGAAAGAAAGAAATGTTTTGATAGGACTCTCAATGCATTCGTTTGTCCCATAAATAAGTGCCACAAGAGATACCCAATGGACAGACCCTTTACTATACATTTGCAGAGAAGTCATAGCTTAAAACAATTCCAGTGCACTCATGAGGGCTGTGACAGAGCCTATAAAACAAAGAGTCACTTAAGCGAACACTTGGAAACACACAATACAATCAAAGCATTTCGTTGTCCACACAATGGCTGCGATCATAAAGCCGTTTGTCGTAAGAATTTGAGAGACCATATGAGACACAAACACTCAAAGGGTATAATAAAAGCCGTAAAGAGAGAGCCGATGAAGAAGAGTCTCAAGAAGTAATGATAATAGAGTGGAAAGCGATGAATACAGACATTAATTTAGTTATATAAGTCGACCCTTTGAGTGCGAATATATAGATTGCAATAAAAGTATTGCAAAATATGGATAAAGTATATTATACTTTAACTATAAATGCATGTAACTGTATATTTTGTGATTTTTATTACAGCAATTTTTACAAAATATCATTAAAAGTTAATTTTATTTTATTTACAATTAAAATTGCTTTCAATAAACTTGTTGTGATTTATAAATGTCTGGCACTCCTATAAACCACATTCATATATGGCTTGTGGTTAAAAAGTAATTAACCGAATAATCATGTATTTGTCAAATGAAAGTTTGTCATAATTTTATTGTCATTTAATTAAATTTTAATGTATTTAAGAGATAGCAGTAATACAGTACTGTAATGCTGTGAAAAGTGCTAACGAGTAAGTGTAATAAAATATCATTTATAGCCAGATTAATTTGTTTGAAAATATTATTATACAAAATTTGAACACGTTGAATTTATAATTGAATTAATTTTAATAAAATTCTTAATTAAAATTAATAAAATATTAAATACTGCAGTAATAATAATTACCTTACATCCAATTTTATACTGTATTTAAGAGTTTATATAATTCAGAGACAATCCCTTTGTGTTACAAATGGTTTCTCTTTTTGTTTACATTTTTGTGATTCAATTGTTGTTTAGTTTTGCACTTAATTTGGATTCAAATTAATTGTGAATTAGTTTTAAATGTGATTTTGAATTGAATTATGGATTCAATGATTAGTAAAAAGTCATTAATTATTAGTATTAATGATATTTTGGATGAATTAATGGTTNTATTAATGATATTTTGGATGAATTAATGGTTGAAAACAAACGACTTTTAAATGAGTTATTGTTTGGAAACAAATGTTTAAATGAATTGAAAACACATTTAATTAAAATTCACTCAAAATATAAGACAATCATTGATGGAGAAGACAATCAAGACTTTTGGCTATTGTGTCAAACATTGGATCAATTGAGTGATGAAACGTATGGATCGGTTGGACATCACATTAAGACTGAATTTGAAGACCGACTGAAGAGTTCATCAAATGATCAACAAATCAACCAAAGAAATGAAACACAAGAAGTAATACAAATTACAGATGAAGTGATGGCTGAAGACTTGGATGACAGCAATGATGTGGTTTTGATACCAGATGTGAATGAAGGACACGAAGATAATTATATGGAACCGATAAATACAATGAGATCTGTATTGACAACTAATATGCAAACATTGTTCCCGTTTTCAAAGCCCTCGACATCTCTATCATCACAACGAGTGGTAAACAAAGACATGAGTGGAAGGACTCGACAAAGCGTTACCACAAATATGACATCAAAGCAATCATTGATTCAATTATTGATACAAAACAGATCCGAAAGATTGAAATGTTTTAGTTTTACGACAAATACATTCAATTGTCCGGTGAATGAGTGCCGCGAGAGTTACCCAACGAGTGGTCAGTTTAGGGACCACTTGAAGACAATTCACGCCAAAAACCTATACATCTGTAAATCCAAAGACTGTTACAAAGCGTTTAATACAATCAATGGCTTAGCGCGACATTCATTGATCCACAGAACAAGTGGACTAAAAGAGATAGTAAACAGTAGTGAAGAGTCGATGGAAATGCGATCGATGTCTGAATTCTTGCGACAAAATAAGTCCGAAAGAAAGAAATGCTTTGATTTTAATACAAATGCATTCATTTGTCCCATAAATAAGTGTCACAAGAGTTGTGGAACCGATGACAAGTTTTACAGACATTTGGCTGCCGTTCACAGCAAAAGACAATATTACTGTCATTACGAAGACTGTGGCAAAGCGTTTACATTGAAAGGCAACTTAACTATACATTGGATAAGTCATAACAAAATTAAGTCATTTCAATGTCCGCACAATTGGTGTCAATACAATACCAGTAGTGATAGGAATTTGAAACTACATCTGAAGAGACACCCAAAACAGCCCTTTCGTTGTCCACGTAATGGCTGTCAATATAAATGCGTTAACAATAAGTTATTGACATCACATCTGAAGAGACACTTAACAGACACAACAGATAGAGTAATCAGATGTCCTGTAAGTGATTGTAAGGTTGAATTTAAGTCGAAGAATGAGTTGAATGTCCACCGTTTGACACACGGCTCCGGACCGGCCATCAATTGTGGGACCAAAGGCTGTAATGAAATGTTTTATACGTTTTCCCAACGCCTGAGACATCGGGTGTCGGTTCACAACCGACGGACGTATAGCTATCGCAGAGGAAAACAATGGTTTGAATGGAAGGGCAAAACAGAGACACAAGAAGTGATGCAAACAATTGATGACAACAACGAAGGAGTAAATGAAGACATATTTGACAACTCTTATGACAGCAATGGTCTGAAGTTGAGGACAAATATCAAAGAAGAACCCGAAATCTATTTTGTGGAACAGATTAATATACAAAATAGTTTAATGAGTACAGGAATGCAAACACAATTGATCGCTACTTCAAAGCCCTCGACATCTCTATCATCACAACGAGTGGTAAACAAAGACATGAGTGGAAGGACTCGACAAAGCGTTACCACAAATATGACACCAAAGACATCATTGGCTGAATTATTGATACAAAACAGATCCGAAAGATTGAAATATTTTAGTTTTACGACAAATACATTCAATTGTCCGGTGAATGAGTGCCGCGAGAGTTACCCAACGAGTGGTCAGTTTCGGGACCACTTGAAGACAATTCACACTAAAAACAAATACGTCTGTAAATACAACGACTGCTACAAAGCGTTTAATACAAACAATGGTTTAGCGCGACATTCATTAACACATAAAACAAGTCAACCAAAAGGGATGACAAACAACGACATCATTGAAAATAATAGCGAAGACTCGATGAAAATACCATCAAATGAAACGGTGTCTCAATTCTTGATACAAAATAAGACCGAACGAGAAAAATGCTTTGAATTGTCGACAAATACATTCATTTGTCCCATAAATGATTGCCACAAAAGTTATCAAAATGACCGCACATTTCTGCAGCACTTGAGGAAAACTCATGTATTAAGACAATACGTGTGCACTCATGAGGGCTGTGGTAAAGGCTTTAAGACAAAGCACACATTAAGTAGCCATCAATTGACTCATAAACCCTTCGAACCATTTCATTGTCCATACAATGGCTGTCTATATAAAGCGGTCACTAATCGCGGGTTTGAACAACACATGAGGTTTTGTCTAATGAAGATTCACTCAACGCATTGAGTGTTTACTTGTATTGACTTTTATTGGCTTTCGGGTGGCAATGCTTTAGTGGGAAGTGTTGTCCACCGACTCACGAGTGATGACATTAATGGGAATCAATGGTCTAAATTGACAACCGATGGACACATTTCCGAATATTTTTATTACAGAATAAATATATTTATTCTGACTATAGTTTTGAATACATTTTCACTCAAAAGTATAGCAAATCATTGTATTTATGGCGAGAATTAATATCTATTTAATGTATTAAAATTTGATATAATTTTAAAGTTTTAATAAATAAATATTTTGTTTTACAACTGTTTACAACTATTTTATACCGGTATCAACTTTATACAACTATATCAACGTATATCAACTTTATATTACTGTATTTGTAGGGTTATTAAATTTGGCGCTTATTCCTATAGGCGCCTTCCAGGGCACCCGCCCACTGGGCGCCCGCCTGGCGGGTGCCACAAAAATGAGTTGTGGTGGGATGGCAGCACATGTACCACTACTATTCATTACACATGTGACTATATTGACAGCCAATCATATTAAACAAGCGTTACTATGAAACACACAACAAATTGAATGTGTTAACCATTGCTTGCATATAAAGACACAAAAACACATCATATCATTCAACCGACGCGAGCACTCGGCCGCTCACAATCTTTGTCATTCATTTGGTGGCCAATACTCAATGGGAAACACTAACAGCTATATGTCAGACTATACACAACTTAAAATTGGTTAACTTGAATGTATGCACCATCATTGCCATGGCCAGCGGTCACGGACCCAGTGCACCGGTTGGTCGGGTGGGGTCAATGGCGAAGAATGATCTGATCCTCAATCTATTCTTAACAAGACAATTATAAATAACAAACACACATACTTTATAATATAAATAAAACGTGTTTATTTAAACTCATTATATTTAATGCATTTAATTATCATAATTATGGTTCAATAGTTATTTAATCAATTAGTATAATGAAGGGATGTGCGGCGCTGGGTCCGAGACCGCTGGCCAATGATTGCCATTTATATGATTGATATAATAATATGATTGAATGTCATATTATCATTTATTACAATTTCACTAACAATTAAATTACTCATTAACTCGTGTCCATAA